ATTCTGTGATTCTGTGTGATTCTGGTTTTGGTTGGGTTTTTTTTTTCTTTGTCATTAGGGAGTTAAATTATTTATCTACTTAATTCATATTGCAGTTAAGAACTGTGGGAAATCAGTGTTTGCCAAAAGTCCTAGTAGAGACACAGATGTGAAAGTGTTTCCCGTCAGTCTGTTTTTACAGCTAAGAAAATCTTTGGTTTTGCTTTGTTTTCTGCAGCTATTTCATGCTGTCAACTGCCTGGCAAAAGACAATGCCCGGTTGCTTGTGCTGGGCCGCAAACACATGCTGATTAACTCTTCAAATTGGAAAAGAGAGATTATGAAGGAGATGCAGAATAAGGCAGACTTCTTCTTTGCTGAAAATATGTAAGTTTAAGAAAATGGCTTAATGTAATGGCGATCAACACCTGATTTATGTGCATTTTATATCACTATAAACAGCTGTACTTTTTAGTACCATTGCTAGTATCTCTGGCTCTGTGTGTGTGAAAGAGAAACATATCCCTTGCTATACTAGCTTCAAAAAACAATACATATTAAAAGTTGCATTATGAAGAATTCCATCACTTGGAATCATGTTGACATCTATATGGTTTATTGGATTTATAACTGTTAAAACCACTGCCAAGACCACAGTGGCCTGAACTTACAGAATACCTGATAGCATCAGCCTACAGTTGTGGTCTGTTGTGTTAGCCCTGCATGGAGAGAGATGAAATTCATGCCTGGCCAGTGTTGCTTGGTACCCCAGGAGTGTGGAGAGTCTGGAGCACTGAATTCATTTCTGCTCCCAGAGGAGAATATTTCTGTGAGTGGAAATAGACCCTCTGCCTCCCTAATTCAAGAAGCACGGCCCCCTTGCTCTTGCCTAGTCAAGCCTGTCCTTGTCTCTAAACTAGGTACTTGCCTCTGCCGCAATGTCCCCTCTCCTTGCCCTGCTTTCCTCATACAATGAGTTTCAGTTTTCCTTCAGTTCCAGCTCCACTTTATCTCTGAGTTGGGCACTGTTGATTCTTCACCTGTCTCTGCCATTTCTTCTGTGATCCCAGTTCCCAGAACTTCTGACCAAGTTCCTTGTGCCAACAGCCAGTCCAAGTTTCTTCTCTGTGCCTCCTTGTTTCAGATCTGTTATCCTTCATCCAATCTCCAGTGCTGGCTCTTTGCTGTTGAATCCCATTGCTTGCTTTCCTGCTCTCTGAGCACTAGCCAAGGGGACTGTTACCCCAGGTTGCAAATCCTCGCTAATCTCATGTCTTGTCACTTACTATTACAGTAAGCCACAGCAATCAAAAAGTGGTTTCAAGCAAAGTTCTCCACAGCTTCTCCAAATATAGGGTATCTCATGCCCACTATAAATGTATTTTGAGATATTGTTTCCCTGAAATTGTTTCAGTTTAATAGCAGCTAATGTTGACTCTATTTCCCAAATAATCGTAGTATCTTTTGGAAGTGTATTTACCCATGTAAAGAACACTCAGATTTGTGCTGTTGCTGACGTTACACTTTATTATCAGTTGTGATAACTGTATTCCAACAAAATTTTGGGGGTACCCTTATGAGTTTTAGCAGTTCTGTTCTACTGTTACGTGGCAAAAGATGGTAGTGTTGTATTATCAGATTGTGATGGGAGGGAAGAATGCTCTGTGTAGCATGCAATTAATTTTTATTGCACTCTAACTGCCAGTGCCTTGTGGTAACCAGAAGTTCTTTATTTTATCAGGGGACTAGAGTAGTGATGGGAATTTTCAGTGTTGCTGATGAACAAATCTCAGATCAGCATTTGATTCATTTCCTGCAACCACTTACTGCCTTGTGAATGACATCTGTCTTCTCCATTTGTTTTGTTAAGCTCTGAAGATGATGCCTTCTTGTTATATGCCACTCTTCGATCAGGCAAGCATTGCAAGTTTGTTACTAGAGACTTCCTCCGGGATCACAAGGCTTGTCTTTCCGACAGTATGACACGTCATCTGTTCCGTAAGTGGCAGCGTGGACACCAAATAGTGTTTTCCCCTTCTGTAGAAGGAAAGCATATCAATTTTTTGGTAAGTTTTCTGCTGCAGTCAGAAAGCACACAAAGCATATTCATTAAAGATACACAATTTCAAACTCTGGAAGCAAAAAGATTCTTGCTGGAGTCTAAGAAATGGATTTGTACCGATGGGCTCAAAACTCCCATGCTTACTGAAAATGCACTGTATTCACAAAGCATGTCACAAACATGAAAACTGTCAAAAAGATAAGAAATGCTGCCTAAATGTTTAAAATGTAAATGCATGTTTGTGTATACAAATCTTTCCATTGCTGTAAAACGTAAGTGCCAATATTTTTTCATTTATTTTAAACTTTGCAGTACCTTATGGTCCTCTGTAGAACTATTATAAAATATCATGCTTCCGACTGTACAATAGAACTTCTTTCATCTTTATTTTAAAGAAGCAGGAAAATACAGGTATTTCAGTATTCACCATAATATTAGCCTAACATATGTATAGAGTTTCATGAAGGAAAGCCCAGAACAGTGAGGTTTATAGTCAGTATTCAGCTGCAAATTACGGTCTTACAAGCATAGTATCATCTTATAGCAGAATACTGCTGTTATTGTTTGAGAGACATGTATGCTTATGAGCCATGCAGTAAATTAACATGAGTGCAGCTGTTTTAAGATTTTTCTTGGGAAAAATTCATCACATGACATTCCATATTATGCAGATTTTTGTTACCTGGTCTGTCTGCATTTTTATTGCCTACTTAAAGGAATACTGCACCTATGCAGATGCATTTTCTTGCTGCTGTGGTTAAAAATGTAAAATAATATTCATCATTACAAACAGACCATAGAGATACAGGCTTATAAGAACGACAGCCTTTCATTCCGTGTTGTGATACATACCTTTCTTTTTATGGATGTAATACATACTGAACGTAGGGGTAACACAGCTTTAGCTACACCTTGTTTCTTTCCTTTGTATGAAAGAGCTAGTAATTTTCATCTCTTAATTCCCATACAAGTGATTTGCATGACTGACATTCCCAGTCATAGCTGTCTTCTAGGTTATTCTGGAAGCTGTCATAGGAAAGCAGACTTCTGAGACTATACACACAGAGTGCTAGTATGTTCTGAGAACTGTAATTGCCAACCAATAATGTTTATTTTGTATTTGTGTTATATATATGTTGAGTTAGTACACCTGTAACATAATAGACCAGAAAAGTAGTTAATTATATTTGTTCAACTAGACGCTTTTGACAGTGTTAATGTTAAACTTTTCTTACATCCTCCTCAGCACAGAGCAAGTCAGTTCTGTAAAGAGGTACACTGGAAGAACAAACACAAGATGTCATTAATGTCATTAAATCCTATCAGTTCAAGCCTATAAACTCCACATCCTGTGTTAATTCCCATACGATTTCATTTTACTGAACGGAAAACCAATCATTTTGCTATTTCTAGAAACTGAATGCACTATGTTCAAATCATTATTATCTGGTGGAGATTGAAGACAGAATTTTAACCATTTACAATGACTCCTAGACCACAAAATACTAAAAGATGTTTTAGTTTTTCCTCCAGTACTAAAATTTAGAATTTGTTTAGTGGAAGGCAATAAATGAGAGTTGTTATAGAGATGAATCTATGGAGATTTCTAAGGTAAGTGTTGGAAGTTATAACTCCCTGTAACTGATATTTTAGTAATATATTGTGTAAAGTCTAAAAAAATGTTTGAAATGTTTTTATCTGTCTTTATCCAACAGCCTGCTTTCTGTTACGACTGTGTGGTACAGACTACAGGTGATACCTGGCATATCCCCTATAAAGACACTTTTGAGGAAAAATGTTCATATCAAGTACCAAGAAAATGGCTCTGCATTCAACAGAAATGATGAAGAATGTAATTTCACAAGCTGAAGCTGCTTTTCTTTTTTTTTTAATCACTGTTGCTGACTAGGACAACTCAGCAGTACAATTAAGGGATTAATGTGTGAGGCCTAAAATTAAAGAAAATTCAGTAACTGCATTTTGTCAAAATGATTCCTGCAGTAAATCTGTTAACATCAATGGTGGTCCATCAGGGACAAATTAGGTCCATTATTTCCATCTTTACAGGCAATTTCTTTAGCCTCTCAATGTGATTTGAATTAAAATTCGTTTTTCCCTCTTGGAATTTCAGGTTGTATTTTTAAAATTTTTTTTTCCCCTCAAGCTTTTCATCTATGCTGAAATCCATAAACTCTGTACTTCAAAGAAATTAAGCAGAACTTCCAAAGTACCTTCAAAATGAGCACAAGCTGACCTTGCAACAGTGTTGCACAACAGGGTCAAATGGTATGCTTACACACACATAGCCCTAATACCTGCTCACATTAGCTGGAACTCATTTGATCACATAGAATGCAAAAGATTTGTTGTAGCAACATATATTAAGATTCTTGATTGGAAGAATTAGGAAACAACCAATGGGATATTGTGTGGCACTCTCACACTCTTAAACCTGCTGCTTCTGACAGGATTTCATGCCACTGGAATAGTTTGCTTATGGAAATGCATGGATTTTCTAAACAAAAATTGATCGTAACTAGACATTCTTACAGGCAGTAATAGGACAAAACTGCATTTTATGGAGATACTTTTACAAAGCCTATCCCAAGTTATAAATAAAGCTAGAAAAATAGTGTGTATTTCAGGAAAAGTGTTCTCAGTTATTATTTCTAAGTTCATTTATTGCACTTACCACTTTAATGCAAACTTCCATCGCCCAAAACACATGGAAGTGCCACATTAATCTCAGATGAATGATCATGTTTTTGTCACATTTGTCTTGCACACTGAAAAATCCCATTTGAAACTGAGCTGAATCATACAGATCTTTTTGTATAGTATTTGCAGTTCTGAGCTTTTGCAGTGTCCCATGACAAGCTCCTTTGGGACTATTAGCGTTCAAGCATGTTCCCTGCTATGTTTTTTTCACATCAGAGAGCTATCCTGACACTACTTCTACTCCTGGGTTGTAAACCAACCGCTGTGATTTGCATTGGAGTCATCTCCTTCAGGTACTGTGCAGAAAGTGTAGAGGAGCTGGATACCTCTTAAGGTAACCTAGAACCTTATTTTAAATTCATCATGTTGTTGGTAGCATTCATCACAGACCCATTTTCTGACAGAACATGCCAGCTCCTACACGTCACCTGCTTTCTGGAGTCTGCCAGAGGAAGCAGAGAGATTGGATCTTCTCTTGCTCCTCAAAACGATTTACTTCTAATTTGTCAGAAGATTGTTTTTACAATTCTGTAAGTCAAAGAACTGCCAGGTCTCCTTGAAGATGTAAATACTGCTTTCTTAAACTAAGTGTCTTTTCCTGTACAGGACTGTTTAGTAAGCAACTGTGGCTCTCTATGAGGGTTACTTAACCTCTGTATGAAGTTCTGCAACAGCGTAAGTTGATGTGAATCAGTGCTGTTATGGTCCCAGTTTGGTACTAGCTCTGGTGATTGTGCGGTCCTAAGCAATTCAGAGCTGAGTCAGCTGAATGCAAACCCTTTAAAAAAAATTTGTTTGGCTAGATCAAAATTGGTGGTGTTGTACTGAACTGGCACCATTGCACAAGTACTGGTACCTGTGTGGGAGGGAGGCTGAAATGTCAGGCTGCAGAAAGTGGGCCCCTGCAGCTCTGCCTTAGGTCAGCTTTAGCTGACCAGAAACTGCACCTTCAGGTTATCCATTTCATTGCCAGACATGTTCATCCATTGAAGTTTGTATTTTAGCTCACGCTGGTCATTAACAGACATGCATAATATCAACATTTAACTGGAATAAGCACATCCTGTACTTCCTTTTGACTGAGAACAGACGTGTCCCTAATCAATCACTTGGGTTTCACCTCAAAAACTGTTCTTACAGAGATACCGTAATACCTTCTAAATAGTAACACTTCTTAAGTACACATTCTTAGAACAGAGTCTGGAGTTTACAACAGGAAGATGTCCCAACATTAGTGTGAGAATTGTTGTGAATTTTGTTTTTCCTTATGTTTGCTGCTAATACACTTTACTGTAGATCCTTAGAGAGAATTAATGGCCTCCTCTTTTTGGAACCAAGGAGGAAACATTAGTGATCAATCCACAGACCTTTTCGGTTGCATACTACCTGTCCATATAGTCCATGTAGATGTAGACTGTATGTACATCATACAGATGTCTCCAGAGGCTCGGTTCTGTCTGAGGTTAATTATTTGCATTTTATTTAAACTATTTGTGGAATAATATTCCTTTTATGTTGCTGTAAGTCTTCAAATTTCGGCTTATTGAAATGGGGAATTTAGAGATAACAATGAATATGAGGATTTGCTTCTGACTATGTAAAAGGAATTCTGGGGGGTTTCATTGGAAATAAACCTGAGAGCCAAACCGAAGCTTACCAACAACTTGACAACTACGACTGCTTATACAGTGGTATAGTAAAAATCCAAGAATTTTTCATGTCCGTCAGGTAGTAGTATATTAAGATTGATAGGTCCTCACTGAATGCCAGAAGGGGAAGTCCTCCGAACACTGGAGAAACTTGTACCCTCAAAACCATGGCAGATGACACTGACTGCCCTTTGCTAGCACACTGAGTGAGGAGAACAGGAATCGGAAGGAATTAGCGCTTAGCTGAGTGTGCCATGGAGACGAAGACGCGTTGGCAAGATAGACTTGAGGAAGACTGAACTGTGTCAGCCTGCACTGTAGCTATTTTGTGAATAGCTTCATCTCCAAGCTCACCCAATTATTGTTTACTATATTAGAAACATATCAGTGAGAACAGTCTTCCTCGGGATCCTGCAACACAGACTTTTTGCTCATATTAGACATGATGAACACTAAATCAAAAATACATGGTTGTTCTTCTGAAGCAAAACTGTATTTTGGAAACTGACAAAATTGCTGCATAGATGTAGAAAACTTATGGAAGCTATATCCTGAATGTGGCATGACTTCCACTTCGCCACGTGCATGGTATTGAGGAACTATTTACTCTTTCCTCGATCTAAGTCAAATATCGAATCTTTTATTCCAACCACTTAAGTATTTTCTCAGTTACTTTTTAGATATCTGGATGAATGATTGATAATTACTTCCATTTTTCCATTCTCTTTTTCTCAAGGGAAAAAAAATATGACATTAAAATCCAGCATTATAGAATGGAAGAGCTTTGTACGTGGAAGGACTGGGAGGGTAGGAATCCTCAGCCTGGAGAAGCAGATGTCTTCAGAGGGATCGATTGCTCACTGTCTCTTCCAGTACAAAAGTGGCATCAAATGGTGCTGGCAGATAGAAGGTTCAGATAAAAGGTGAAGTTTCAGATGAAACCACACAACGCATCATTATGCTGAGCAGCTCTTTGCCACGGCATGTCATGGATGCAAGAAGTTCATGTGAGTTCAAAGGGAGACCAGCAAGTTCATGAAAGAGAAATCCGGCAAGGGTTATTAAATAACCAGACACTACCTCTGCCTTGGGAAGTCCCTCCAAACGGTTCAAGACTGGGAGAGGATGCAGGGAGTGCATCATTAAAGGCTGTCTGTAGTCTCAGTACTTTTCCTTGGGCATCCGCTTTTGGCTGCAGTTGGAGATGGGGCATGGGGCTGGACGGTCTGTGTCTAACCCAGCGGAGACGTTCTTACGTTTTCATGTTCTCCATGTGCCAGTGCTTGCATCACAGCTTTAAGCGTTTCATGTCTGCCCACAAATGGCTTGTAATCCATAAAGAGACGTTTTATTCTCCCATAGTATTAATAAGCAAGGAAAAGTATACGGAAAAAATCAAGAAAGCAGACTTTTAATGTATGGTGTACACAAAATGCACCTGTATCTGCTATTTCAACGAAGAGTAAGCTCGTCTAATAATAATCTTTTAAAATAGAGGTGTGGATACCAAAACACAGCTTTTCCAACTCTTTTAATGACTGACTTTAAAAAAAGGCCTTCCTACAAAGAGCAGGGGAAATCCAAGACGCTGAAAGGCAGAAAGAGCATATATTCATGGGTTTAAATTTGGGAATTTCCCTTTGTACTGGACACTGATAAAAAGTTAAGTCTTTTAAACATCACGTTATAATGCAGCTATGGCAACAATTACTCATTAGGAGTACCTTAAATGTCTTTTTTGATGTTAGTGTTATTTCTTTGCTTTAAAATTATACTCATTGAAGAGAACACGTGGAACTATTTTGTTTAGAAAATTTAAGAGGGGTTTTGTTTTCTTGGCTGTCTGTACAGCTCATGATGATACTCTTCTCCAGTTTTGTGGTATTTCCGTGCACATTCTCTGATGCACGTCGAGCATGTTCGAGGTTTTCCATGAATCAGAAATCATTTGATCAGCCTGGCAAGTCGCAGCTTCCC